CTCCCTCACCCCCATCCCAGGCCCCAAGAAGACTTTCCACATCAAGCAGATGTTCACCTGCACATCTGCTAATGTGGTATACTGTATCCGCTGTTCCCGTTGTGGCCTCCTCTACATCGGGGAAACCAAGCGGAGGCTTGGGGAGCACTTTGCAGAACACCTACGCTCAGTTCGCAATAAACAACTGCACCTCCCAGTCGCAAAACATTTCAACTCCCCCTCCCATTCCTCAGATGCCTTGTCCATCCTGGGCCTCCTGCAGTGCCACGACAATGCTACCCGAAGGTTGCAGGAACAGCAACTCATATTCCGCTTGGGAACCCTGCAGCCCAATGGTATCAATGTGGATTTCACAAGCTTCAAAATCTCCCCTCCCCCTACCGCATCCCAAAACTAGCCCAGCTCGTCCCTGCCTCCCTAACCTGTCCTTCCTCCCACCTATCCCCTCATCTCACCTCAAGCGCCACCCCCATCTTCTACCTACCAGCCTCATCCCGCCTCTTTGACCTGTCTGTCTCCTCTCCACCTATCTTCTCCTCTATCCATCTTCTATCCGCCTCCCCCTCTCTCCCTATTTATTTCAGAATCCCCTTCCCCTCCCTCATTTCTGAAGAAGGGTCTAGACCCGAAACGTCAGCCTTCCTGCTCCTCTGATGCTGCTTGGCCTGCTGTGTTCATCCAGCTCTACACCTTGTTATCTCAGATTCTCCAACATCGGCAGTTCCCACTATCTCTGTGATTTTGTGTGTGATGTTTTTCATTTTTCACAATGTGGGCGTCGCTGCCTGAGCCCAGTATTTCTTGCCCGTCCCTAGTTGCCCCTTGAGAAGGTGGTGGTGAGCTGCCTTCTTGAACTGCTGCAGTCCCTGTGCTGTGGGTTGACCCACAATGCTATTAGGGAGGGAATTCCAGGATTTTTACCCAGCGACACTGAAGGAACAGCAATATATTTCCAAGTCAGGATGGTGAATGACTTGGAGGGGAACTTGCAGGGGGTGGTGTTCCCATGTATCTGCTGCCCTTGTCCTTCTAGATGGAAGTGGTTGTGGGTTTGGAAGGTGCTGTCTGAGGATCTTTGGTGAATTTCTGCTGTGCATCTTGCAGATGGTACACACTGCTGCTACTGAGCGTTGGTGGGGGAGGGAGTGGATGTTTGTGGATGTGGTGCCAATCAAGCAGCTGCTTTGTCCTGGATGGTGTCAAGCTTCTTGAGTGTTGTTGGGGCTGCACCCATCCAGGCAAGTGGGGAGTATTCCATCACACTCCTGACTTGTGCCTTGTAGATGGTGGACAGGCTTTGAGGAGTCAGGATGTGAGTTACTCGCTGCAGAATTCCCAGCTTCTGGCCTGGTCTTGTAGCCTCTGAGTTAATGTGGTGAGTCCAGTTGAGTTTCAGGTCAATGGTAACCCCCAGGATGTTGATAGAGGGGGACTCAGTGATGGTAACACCATTGAATATCAAGGGATGGTGGTTAGATTGTCTCTTATTAGTGTTGATCAGAGCCTGGCATTTGTGTGGCACGAATGTCACTTGCCACTTGTCAGCCCAAGCCTGGATATTGTCCAGATCTTGTTGCATTTGAACATGGACAGCTTCAGTATCTGAGGAGTCACGAATGGTGCTGAATAGTGTGCAATCATCGGCGAACATCCATAGTGGTTGGTGTGGGTGTGTGTGTCACCAACTGGGGTGTTTGCGCGAATGTATGTGTAGCTTGTGTTCGGGTCTGTGAGAGTGTGTCCGGGTCTGTGAGAGTGTGTTCGGGTCTGTGAGAGTGTGTCGTTGTCAGTGTTGCATGTTATTGCATACTTGTGTCTGCAAGGTAGTGTGTCGGTGTGTTTTTGGGTTAGTGTGTGTTAGTATATGTGTGTCTGTGCATGAAAGTGTGAGAACGTGGGTATGTGACTTTGTGTATTTGTGTCAGTGAGTGTGCCTGTGTTTTTCTCTGTGTGACAGTGTGTGTATGTGTGTGAGTGTGGTACTGTGTGTATGTGTACTGTCTGAGAGTGTGTATGTGTGACATTGGGTGTGTGAGAGAGTGTGGGTGAGAATGTGTGTATTTGTGTGTGTTTATGAGATAGAGAGTGTGTGTATTAGTGTGTGAGTGAATGTGTGGAAGTGTGAGTATGTGTGTGTGTGATGGTGGGAGTATTAGTAGTAACTAGTGTTGCCGAGCTTCCAGCTGATGGACTCTGTGATGTTTGTGGGTTTGCAGTTTCCGCTGAGTGCTGTGTGCAATGTGAAATGGGATTTGTTTCTGAGTGTGACGTGATCTATACAGCCTGCTGAATGATCAGCAACAGCTTCTAGTTGTTGGATGACATTCTAGTTTCTGAAATAACCACACAAAATAAGCCGCGAGCACAAAATCTTCTTATCAGCAATACTGACTGCAGTGCACCCTTTCAAAAACTTCAGGTAAGAGAAGCACAATGGGCCTTTTCCTCATTCCTGCCCTGGGCTAACAAGTTGGTGAACATTCCTCTGGTTTAGTTGTAACCACAGCCCCAGTTGCTGTGTCGAGCTCTCCCTGGCTGTGTGGAAACTGCAGTCTATTCCCTACAATCTGCCTCATCTGTTTCACTGTCGGAACCAGGGATTCATTACTATGGGCATGAGCGGAGCGCCACTGCCCACTTCAGTGGCATTTCACCACCACTGAAATATAAACAGCTTCAGTCCTGAGCCCAGGAGCAAGCAGATGGAGGAAGAACCAGGTAGGGAAATGCAGGCCAGCATCGCTGGTCTTTGTAGTTCCTTCTCTCCCACTGCCAGGATTGTACCTGTCAGCCTTCACAAAGTCTGCAAGTCTCTCTAAAGGTGAAGACAGCACAATCAGGGCCACAAAGAGGGTGCAGCAGAGATTCATTTGAACAGAATGCACAGTGCTTAATTGAGAGAGATCAGTTCTGAGGATCGAGTGAGGAAGTTCTGAGATCAGCGACGTGATTTAATTGTGGTGTTTAAAAAAAATCGAAAAGGGCTTAGGTTGAGTAATTTAGGAGAAGCAGTTTCCAGTGGCAGAAAGAGAGTAGGGAACGTGGATTTAAGGGAAGCAGTAAAACAACAAGAAGCAAAGTGATTTCCTTTAATGTTGCAGGTAGTTGTGATCTAGAACCCACTGACTAAAAGGGCAGTGGAAACAGATCAATCACTTTCACAATCAGTTGATGTCCAGTGGGGCTTGAGCTTTGGCTAATCTCTATCTACATCCATTCTGTGGGACCAAATACAATCTTTTCAAATTTGTGGCTGACACTAAGCCGAATGGGAATGAGGGTCATGAGGGGGACACAACAACAGAGAGACTGAGCAATTGGACAAGAGAGTGGTCAATGAAATCGAAAGTGGATAAGTGTGAGGTGATTACCTTTGGTAGAAGGAACAAAGAATTTCTGAAACTGTGGGAAATATTGCTGACTGTCCTTGTGTATACTTCACTGAGAGCTCACACAAAGGTTCAACAAGCATTCAGAGCCAAGGCTGTTTTAGTTTCTGTTGAAAGAAGGCTGGAGTACAGGAGAAAAGGGGACCTTACTTCAAAAGCACTGCACCCAGAGGACTGTGTTCAGCCAGGTCTCTGTGTGTAAGGAAGGGGAGATGCAGATAGAAAGATAGACATGGAATAGAGGGAATGTAGTAGAGGTTCACCAGATAGATCACTGGAATAGTCGGCCTGACCCATGAGGAAAGATTGAGGACAATTGTCCTGTATTGTCTGAGGTTTAGAAAAACAAGAGGTGATCTGATTGAAACTGATGATGTTTTTAAAGTATGTGCAGGAAGAATGTTTCCCATGGCCAGGAGTGTCTGGACCCAGGGCCAGGCTGTTTAGGGCTGAGCTGTGGAGGAATGTCTTCACCCAGAGAGTGAGGAGCCTGTGGAATTCTCTACCCCACACAGCAAGTCAGAAATTCAGGACAAAGATTGAGAGATTTCAGTTACTAATGATGGCCAGGGTTAGGGGGCGGTGCAGAATTATAGTGATGAGGTAGTTGCTTGGAATGACAGAGCAGACTCAAAGGTTTGAACAGCTGAATGGCCCACTCATAATGTTCCTGTCTATAATCTTAGGAGAGAAATTTGCAGGGTTGTGGGGAGTGGGATTAATCAGTTTGAGCCATACACAGAGCCAGCAGAGGCCTGGGGGTGCGATGGCGCTGAGTGGGGAATGTCCTTCTGTGCTGCTAATGGGAGTGAATGTTTTTGGGACAATCTGTGCGTGGTTACAGGAAGAGGTTAACATTTCTCTGTGTTGACAGGAAAGATCAGCCGGCAGCAGAACCAGGGAAAGTCGGAAAAGGAGGATGAGGGCCCCAGCATCAGCACAGTGCAATCCCACGGGGCTGAGGGCAGCTCTCGCTGCATGGTCTTCACTTACTTCAAAGGAGATAGCAACAGCATGGTGGAGCAACACTTCACCAGAGCTCTGAAACGGGTCGGGGGTCCCATAGACGTCAGCTCAAAACGGAAAGTTGCAAGCATTGAGCCAAAGTCAGGTAGGGAATGGGAATGGGATTCTGAGTGTGGGTTGTTTCACGGCACAGGGACCAGTGGGGGCCGGCAACAAACGAGAACACAGCCCACAACTCCCTCACAACAAGCAGTTCTTGGGGCCATCATTTCGACTGTTCAACAATCTGATTGTGTCAGCCCAGTCTGATCAACAACAGCTTATCCCTGGGCAAGGCGTTAGTCACAGACTGAGAGAACGTAACTTGCTCACTGTTAACCCTCACTGTCCCTCACACACACACACACACACACACACACACACACACACA